GCTCTGCCATTCCCTGTGCTCTGCCATTCCCTGGCCTCTGCCATTCCCTGTGCTCTGCCATTCCCATGGCTCTGCCATTCCCATGGCTCTGCCATTCCCTGGCCTCTGCCATTCCCATGTCTCTGCCATTCCCTGGCCTCTGCCATTCCCTGGCCTCTGCCATTCCCGGTGCTCTGCCATTCCCTGGCCTCTGCCATTCCCTGTGCTCTGCCATTCCCCTGGCTCTGCCATTCCCATGGCTCTGCCATTCCCTTTGCTCTGCCATTCCCTGGCCTCTGCCATTCCCATGGTTCTGCCATTCCCTGTGCTCTGCCATTCCCTGTGGTCTACCATTCCCTGGCCTCTGTCATTCCCTGACCTCTGTCCTTCTCTGGGCTCTGTCCTTCCCTGCCTTTCTGCCCCCAGAAAAGCGACCCTCGCTGTGTTTGTCCCGTGCCTCACCCTGGAACATCTGGGAATGCTCCTGCAGCTGCTGGGTTGGAGAAATGGGGGTTTGCAGTTCAGTAATTCCTGCTGAGACTTGGGCAGGCTGAGGATGAGCAGCGCTGCCTGAGGGGTGGATGTCCCGGTCCTGGACATGCCATGGACATCAAAGCTTGTGCTGCCCTGGAGAGCCCGGGCCGGTTCCATCCCAAAATAGCATCGTGCTGCCAGAAAAAGGCTCTGTTTGTTTTTGGTTGCCTGTTCGGGGAGCGGCGGCTCCTGGAGGAAACGCTCTCTTCGGCACGCAAGCACCAATATTTACCTTGACAAGATAGTTTATTGTCATTCTTCGTTTGCTCTTCCTCTGGACGTTTCCGTTCTCCGAAGAGGCAAAACCATTGTGTGGAAAAACAATCTCAAGTGGACAAATGATGCAGCTTAACACGTTCCTCCTCCTCAGCTGAGCCACAGGAGCTGGCCATGAGCATGTTCTTGGCTCCTTCCACTCCTAAATCACCCATTTATGTCTCATTTAAAGTTTTTTAAGGCTACCATATCTTATTTTACATTTTTAGTATGCCAGATGTGCCTAAGCGACAAGTGCTCCATTTTTAAGGCCTTTCTGAAAGGTGGAATGAGGAAAACACAGCTACTGAAAGTGGCACGTGCAACAATACTCAAGTATATAAAAATAGGACAATTGGGAATCTTTCTCAGTGTGAAGAGGGTAAGGAGAGAAGAATTCACAGAAATTTTTTTCGCCACAGAAAAGAAAGCAAACCTGTCTCAATAACTTTATCTACCTTGCTGCCCAAGCAATCCTTGGGAAATTCAAAGGGCATCAGAGTTAATTTTTGCTGAACTCCTAAAAGAAGCAGTGGATGTGCAAAGAGAGGGTGTGGCTCTGTCCTGTGTTATCCCAGTGAGGGAGGTTCATCAATGGCATTCCAAAACTGATTTTCCCTCATGCCAAGTGAACCCTTTTCAGTGCACACCAGGGTTTTCTCCAGACTCCCCTGGAAATGAACCTGTCCCTCAATGCTGCCAGCAGAGGAGTGACAGAACAGAAAGTGACAGAACACRAAAGTGGTGATTCCCATCAAAATGATTCCCCTGTCCCCATCACTGAAATCAATAACAGAAAAGGCAAATCAGCAGGAAGGGCTCTGCTGTGAAGTTTCATTCTCAAGCCTAATAAGAGAGAGAAACAAAGTGCAAATGTGGTGCTTTGTGCTGAAAGCTGGCCAGGCAGGTGAACCAGGGGATGCAGCCCAGCCCAGCCCTTCTCCAGGAGCAAATCCCGAGGATCTCAGGGCAAAACTGCTGCAGGGTCAGGGCTGTGCTCTGACCTTTTGGGGTTGAGGGTTTTCTAATTTATTTTGRTCACACTCAGTGTTTTTGCTGCATGAAAAACCTCCTGCTTTCTGCTTTTTGGAGTCTGGCTCTGGGGCAGGATGATGGACAGACATAAAAGGCAGGGCAGTTTTTCCAGTTCCTTCCCAGCCCCACTGGGACCCTTCCTGTCCCCACAGATGTTCTCCAGAGCTCGGCCTGAGCTGGTTGGAAATCCCAAGGGATAAAACTTCCAGCCCTTCTCTTGGGAAACTGTGCCCCAACTCGATATCCTACCAAGCTCCTGTAAAAATGGGAAGTTTGTGCTCTTCCCAGGCATTCCCAGTTCCCTGTGTGGAGCCCAGTGCTCGGGAGGCACAGTGTCCCAGGGGAAGGGACTTCAATGCCCAGAGCCACCCCAACTCCTCAGAGCAGCTGAAACRAGGGGTTCAGGGCTCCTGAAGGAGCTGGTGATCTCTGGGCAGTGCTGAACCCTGGAAAATGCCACCCATTCCTGCTGGGATCACACCAAATCAACAACGCAGCAGAAGGAATGCCAACAGTCCTTACCTGTCACCACCAGCTGCATGGTGAGGTTCTTGTAGAGGCCGTGTTTGGGGTTGCTCAGCACCATGGTGTARTTCCCCGCGTGCTTTGGCCTCACGTCCCGGATCCCCAGGCGGTATTTCAGTGGCTCTGGCTCGTAGCACGTGTGGTTGTCCTTGATCAGTTTGCCATCCTTGTACCTGTTTGGRAAGTCCATCGAGGCTCATCAGGAGCCTGATACCCCTGAGAAACCCTGTCAGGCACATGAGGGGGGCTAAAGGCTCATCCCAGCAGGGGGAATGTGGGGCTGGGATCACTGCTGGGATAGGATGTTTATCCCCATTATCTGTCCCCACTAGAACTGATGCTCATCTCCAGGGCCGTGGGATGGATTCATCCCAGGAAAAAGTTGTTTTAATGGGTCTGAGTGAAYAGGGCCTCTCACGTGCTCAGCTGTGATCTAAACACCCCCAAATGAAGCTGGATAGGCAGCACCAAGCATGGGAAATCATGGATTAGCAAAATGTGTGCCACCGCTTTGAAAGGAAGAGATTAATTAAGCAGACCTGTCTCTCAGGATGTCTGTGTGAGCCTTTGCTGCTTCTGAAAAAGTGAAACTCTGTGAAGGCTGGTTTGTGGGGAGCTCAGTGAGGAATTCCCAGCCTGGAATATTCCCTCAGCGTGGGAGAGCAGCATCTGCCCCAGCAGGGCCGTCCTCACTGCCAGCCCCACACAGGTTTGGGATCAGCAGAGGGGCCAGGCTCAGCCACACACAGAGCTTTGGGGTGGCTGGGGGCGCTGGGGCATCCCCCACTGCCTGAGGATGCTGGAAACTTCCTCTGTGTGCTTAAAACAACCATCCTGAGAGACCTCCAGCATCCACAGCTGGGCCTCCAAGGGAAGGCAGCTCTGGTGGTCCCAGGCAGCCACCGAGGAGCTCCACACCAGGGCAGGAACAAAGCCTTGGCAGGGAGAAGGGGTCAGTCCCCACTGCAGCTCCAAAACATCCCCAGCCCTAAAGAATGATGAAAAGCAGCAATTAAAAACATCTCCTGGCACCGATCCCACTGATATTAGAGGATTTAATGACCTTTCCCTGCTAATGAAATGCAGCAAGGCCAGCCCTGAGGAACCTTCTGCTGTCTGCTGGGCTCTCAGCTGGCCCAGGACAGGTGCTCGGGGAAATGCCACCTTCTGTGSCAGGACAGGCACTCTGGGGAAATGCCACCTTCTGTGSCAGGACAGGYRCTCTGGGGAAATGCCACCYTCTGTGCCAGGWCAGGYRCTCKGGGGAAATGCCACCTTCTGTGCCMGGACAGGCACCCCCYGCCAGCTGAACCCTGAGACCGATGCAGGTAAAGGTGTAAAAGGCACTGGATGGGGCTGTTAAAGGTGGAGCAGGACAGAGAACAAGTGATGAAAGGGTAAAAAGAGACCTCAATGTCTCCTGGAGCTGCTGCCCCTCCTGTCCAGCAGATCCTCTGCAATCCTGGTGGAGCCTTCAGCTCAGGAGGATTCCCTGCACTGCCTGTGGGATCTGCTCTACAGGWCTGGAGGGAACCACTGACAATTCATGAAAAGGAACAATTCCTTGTGCTGAAAATGTGTCCTTTTCTGTCATGCCCTGCCCYGCTGCAGGCTGACCACATGCACCCCTTCCCCGAGAGCTTCGTCCTTGAATCTCCCAGATAATTCTGTGTCCAGGGAAAGTCAAACACACATTTTGCCTGGAGGGACCTTCCTTGAATGGCTGGGGGGAAAAAGACCACAGGAATGAGGGATGGCTTGCCCAGCTCCCAGAACTCAGGAGCCCAGAGCAGAACCACAGCTCTGAGCATCCCCAGCTCCATCCCTGACCTGTGTGCTGAGGAACAGGGAAAACCTATTCCAGACAGAATTCCTAAAGCAGGAATAGGGGAAATCTATTCCAGACAGGATTCTGTCCTAAAGGAGGACTAGGGGTGATTATTCCAGATTCCTAAAGGAGGACTAGGGGTGATTATTCCAGATTCCTAAAGGAGGAATAGGGGTAATTATCCCAGACAGGATTTGTAAGGAGTAACAGGGGTGATCATTCCAGACAGGATTCCTACAGGAACAGGGGTGATCATTCCAGACACAATTTGTAAGGAGGAACAGGGTGATCATTCCAGACAGGATTCCTAAGGAGGAATAGGGATGATTATTCCAGATTCCTAAGGAGGAATACGGGTGATAATTCCAGACAGGATTCCTAAACGAGGAATAGGGGAAATCCATTCCAGACAGGATTCTGGAATAAAGAGGAATAGGGGTGATTATCCCAGACAGGATTCCTAAAGGAATGGGGTGATAATTCCAGACAGGAGTCCTAAAGGAACAGGGGTGGTTATCCCAGACAGGAT